ACATCAGCATCAACTGCAAACTCGCATAAATGCACACAATATTTAAATATAAGTGATGGTAAATCAGCGCATACAGTAAATAGCGTGCCATTTTTTTGGAGCAGGAGGGTTATTGATTTTGCTGTCAGTCTGGCCCACACTTCCCTCGGGCTGTGTCCCACACTGTGTTGGCTGTCTCTTCATCGCTTCCTAGATAGCTCCTCTAATTGTGTGTGGGGAGAGGAGTTCAGGCACCCCGCTGACCTGCTGGCTCCAGTAAGACCTGACAGAAACATGAGGCGAGAGAGAAGAATAAACCTACGTGATGGAAACTACATCTTAGTAGCATCTAACAGCTTCATGCTATGCTCAGCTTGCACAACATCTAGTTGTGTTGTTATAGCAGTGAGAATACTGATATACACTGCCGTTCAAAAGTTTTGGATCGTTAAGATTTTTAATGTTTTTAAAAGAAATTTCTTCTGCTCACCAAGGCTGCATATTTGATTAAAAAACAAACCAAAAAAACAGCAATATTGTTAAATATTTTACTCCAGTCTTCAGCATGATCCTTCAGAAATCATTCTAATATGCGGATTTGATGCTCAAAAAACATTCATTATTATTATCAATGTTGAAAACAGCTGAGTACAATTTTTTTCCAGGATTCTTTGATGAATAGAAAGTCCAAAAGAACAGCTTTTATTTGAAATAGAATCTTTTGTAACATTATAAATGTCTTTACTGTAACTTTTGATCAATTTAATTCATCCTTGATGAATAAATGTATTGATCCAAAAAAAAAATCTTACTGACCAGAAACTTTTGAACGGTAGTGTTTAATGTTACAAAAGCTTTCTATTTCAGATAAATGCTGTTCTTTTGAACTTTCTGTTCATCAAATAATCCTGAAATAAAAATGTAAATACCTGTTTTCAACATTGATAATAATGAAAAATGTTTCTTGAGTATCAAATCATCCTTCTGAAGAATCATGTGACACTGAAGACTGCAGTAATTCAGCTTTGATCACAATAAATTACACTTGACTATTTATTCACATAGAAAACAGCTGTTTTAAATTGTAGTACTATTTCACAATATTACTGTTTTTTGTGTGGTATTTTTAATGCAATAAATGCAGCCTAGAGGAGAAGAGAAAATAAATTTTATGTATTTAAAAACATAAAAAATCTTACCGATCCAAAACTTTTGACTGTAGTGTATTTTACGTAGTCTAAAGTGGGGTCCAAATATCTGAGATCACTAATGAAAATGCTTTCATCTTCTTTTCTTCTTCTCTCCCCACACCTGTTGTTTCTCATTATAAAGGCCATGACTGCAGGGCTGTACTCATACACAGCAATAAATAACTTTCTAATAACTGGAAAACTTTCTATTCATCAAAGAATACTGAGGGGAAAAAATGCATACTAGTTTACCTAAAAAAAAATATTACGCAGCACAACTGTTTTAAACTTATTAACAAATGTTTCTTGAACACCAGAATGATTTCTGAGGGGTCCAAAAAAATTAGCTTTGCGATCACAGTTACATTTTACATTTTACAAGTTACATTTTAAACCATATTAAAATAAATGATAAAATAGTTAGCTGAATCACTGCCAAGATCTTCATATATAATCCTCCTGACATTAAGAAAATCACTGAGAACTGTATAGTTTACAATAAAATCGCTTTACAAAAATAAGGTCATTTTTAAATTTAAATGTAAAAACATTATTTAATATATCATTATAAATAATTATGAATAAATAATTTAGGATATATATATATATATATATATATATATATATATATATATATATATATATATATATATATATATATATATATATATATATATATATATATATATATATATATATATATTTTTTTTTTTTAAGTTAGCTTTTAACCATGCTCTGTTGCTTATCATGTGTTGAGAAAATTCCCTCACTGTTTTACCCTGGACACAAATATTTTTCAGCTCACTTGGATGAACGCTACTCATCCGTGAAGCAAGAAGTGGCCTAAACACTACATATGTGTAACTCTGTTTACACTGAGAGGATAAATGTGGTCATTTTATTATTCTTAGTCATTAAAATGTTCCACCTTCCAGCCAGAGGTTGCATTCCAGAGCAAAGGCTCTATGTAAATATGACACAGAGGTGGCATGAGAAGTACAGCTCCACCAAAATCATGATGCAATGTTTTACACAAAGAAATCTTTCAAAGTACATGTAAAAAGTATGCTAAATTCAGAAGTTTTTGAGTGTTGTTGAGATAGTATGCACTATAAGCACAAATGAATACCTCTATCATTTCATTTAGAAACATCACAATGTTCTGTCACCCTCTCTTTTGTCATTTAGTGTAGCTCTTATACATACACTGAATTTTGACACTGCTGTCACTGCAGCGCACACCGCTGTCAGCTGAGGTTGAGAGATATCCATCCCATGGCACATTAGAGGCCAGGGGGAAAACCCCTTATCACCATCCATACTCTCTACTGGCAATGTGAGCCAGTGTCATTAAGATAAACACAAAAGAGGCCACAAACTTCATGCTTTCTAAAACGTCTCCAGGCAGTCTTTGAAAGTATTTATTTAATTGGATCACAACTGTGTTCCACACAGATCAAGAAAACACTACTGATACTCGACGATGCACTGGCTGGGAGGGAAAGGGCACCGAAAAAAGCCACCACTAAGAATAGTTCAGGCATCAAAGGGCTCAACACACTATCTACACTTCAGCTTGTCAGCTAAAGAGTTGTTTTGAAGCTGAAAGTAATGGCCGAGTTTACTTAGTGTCAAAGGGAGGGGGAACAGACGAGTGTGTTCAAGAAGATGCCATCTTTCCGTGCCGTTGCACAGGTATGGCATTGTTGATGAACTGGGATCTGGCAGTTCATGCACTTGCCACATTCAATCAGCAAACCTATACTGGAATGCAGAACCTTCCAGAGGACCAATAGCCTGATCTATGTAAATAGTAGCCCTTGCCTTCTCAGCAGGACTTTAGAAATGTGTTGATGTTTATGTCAATGATCTTCTCACATTAACCTTTGCATATAGTTTACTCATGTCATTCCAAACCATTGCAAGAAATATGTTTTTTTTTTTTTTTTTTGCAGAATGGCGTCCAGTGTTATTTTGGACCCAACTGACTTTCATTGTACAGAAAAAAAGTCGTAACATTCTTCAAATATCTTCTTTTTTGTTCCGCAGAAGAAAAAAAATGCATAAAATGTATGTTGACTGATTTTTTTTTTTTTTGAACTATCCCTTTAAAAATACAAATATATGTTTGTATAAGAATAAGGATTTTAGGCCCCACTTTATATTAAGCGTCTTTAACTAGTAACATCTGAATTAATAATATGATACAATGCATTTTATTATTTACATGTTTTTAAATTGTACTTATATTTTTAAAGAATCCTGCATGTAATTACATCTATAATTACACTATTGACCCTTCCCTTACACCTTAAACATTTAAACCTACACACACCACCAAACCAGTCCCTAACCTTACTCATATCCCACCTCAATAGTAGCAAAATAGTTTTGCAATGCAACATGAATACAATAAGTACATTGTACCTAACATTTTTAATAAAAATGTTTCTGATTTTATATGAATCTATCAATCCTTTTAGATCATTCACAACATTTACCACTTTAATAGCGATTCATTGATGCATTCATTCTTTTCTCAATGAAAGTACCTTGGGCTTCAAAAGACACAGACGTATTGCAGTGAGAGGAATTACATGGATTACAGGTCATAATTGGCCTATGGAAGCACCTGTGTGTACATGTTTGAAGCTCCACACCCAACAACAATCCATGCACCTATTTACTGATGATTTATTAAGAGATACAGCAGTTTAAGCATACGGTGTTCTAACATCACATTCTTGTATCACTCAAGTGCCAAACACATTCACATTTACATTTAACTGATTAATTAAATGTAACTGTAATGTACTGTATGGGGCTTTGGGGTCAAACAGACCCCCCAAACTCAAAGAAAGAACCAGTAATCCCAGTGTGCAGGAACTAATACCTGCACTTGTTACACTTGTTAGAGCCTGTCTATGAGAAAGAACAATTCATTGAATGAAATGAAAAAAAGAAAAAGAAAAAGTAATACCCTATTGAAGAGAGACTGAAACTCTATGGCTCAGTGCATGTGTATGCCTGGTGTAGGTATGCCTCTGCATCTGCTGCCTCCCACAAATGACCTTGAATGGAGCGCAGATCACATACTTGAACTTGAGTATTCCAAAACAGGTCACTGGAAAAATGTTTCCTCCCCTTAACAACACACACACATTTTATCTCCGTAATGAAGACCTACAAAGAGAAGAAAGTGTGCTTTGTATCATAGCGCCATCTGTACTTTCATAAATGCCACTTGAGTAAATTATATGATTAAAAAAATATTAGACATTTTATTCAATCACTTGAATTGTTTTCTGATCAGTTGATCTGCAGCAACAGTCTATCCACATTCAAAAAATAGGCAGTAGGCCTACCATGGTACATTGATGGTATCAGATGTCAGTACCATGGTATTCTGACATGAAATAAGGTATTTATAATATATGGTAGCCTACTCTCCAAGAATAACATGGTACCACCATTATACATGCCCATACAACCCTGACAGTAGTACTATGATAGGCCTACATGTTCAAAAAAGCACTTTGGTACTTTTTTGTCGTTCAAAAAATCTAAATATACCGGTGGATTTACGTATGACATTAATTCATGGGATCAGGAAAAGAGATAATCTTTGATTTTGAGTAAAGCACACAGTTTAGAGTTTGAAAGAATCAGCACTGAACTGCTCAAGCGAGCATGAATTCCACCCCCGTTTACAAGTTATTACGCAAAAGCAAGGCGGCTTGTGATTGGTCGAAATCTGCCCTCCCTCTTTTGAAGGTAACTTATTAAAAGAGCCGATGGGCGGAGTCTCGCCTCGACTATATATTGAGTGGGTACAACCAAAGGTACCGGGTACGACTTTGTCCTTTTTTACAACATTAAGGAAGGGGACAACATCGCTGTAAAGTCCACAAGGCCCGCTCAAACACCACCAAAAAGGGAACTAAATACCGAAAATGTCTGCAAAAAAAGAAGGTGACGGTGGATGGAAGAGCTTTATCTGGAATTCTGACAAGAAGGAATTTTTAGGACGCACAGGCGGCAGTTGGTGTAAGTGTTCTCAAGATTGTTTCATCAGCGCCTCTTCTCTTGGATTCAACTAGTTTTTCTCCTTTATTAGATGTTACTATTGATATGTACCAACGTTAAAGACAGGAGAAACAGCTACAGCGTGTTTCCAGACTTTGGAAAAGTTCAGCACCTGTTTGATCTGACTGACTGCGTCGTGACTTTCGTTTTCAAAGGGGAAAAAACGCCTCGAGATGGCGCCTTGCTGTTATAACTAGATTATCATATTTGAGGTAACGTTATTCGTATAAACGAAGCTAATAGATAAGCTGTGTTCTAGTGCATAGAGTGTGCCGAAAGAATCGCGTTATTAGTCATGTAGCTAACGTTAATAGAAGGACTGATCAGTGAATCTACGCGCGATGAGCAACACGGCGGTGAAATGGCATCGACGGATGAATGGAAAAAATATGAAAACAGTGCTTTACACTAAATATTTTTTATATTTATTCAACTGTTTACTTAAATGTTAACGTTTAGGTCCATGCTGGGGGTGTTTGAAAAGAAACAAGGTTATTTTGAAGGTCGTTATATGGATGTTATTACTGTGTAGGAAATATGTCAGTCATCTATATCTAAAATGGCCAGCAAGGACAATTTGCAATTTTCCAACCAATAAAACAGAAAATGTCATTTTGATCGTAGCTTTGTAAGCATCAAAATGGTTTCAAAGCTAACGTACAACCTGCAGTGATCAGTTCATTTTACTTATATCAACTACTAAGAAAATCGAGTTCAAACCAACAAATCGAGTATAAATTATTGTGGCATGGATGGAAACAACATTTCCACAGTGAAGAGTAAAAAATTAGCAAATTTCAGTCATAGACAAAATGACAAGAGAGTGTTTGTGCTGGTGACTATTTTCTTTCGTCAAGGTGACTCCCAAGTAATTTGGTTTGTTTAGATTATGGCCTACAGTTAGTAATATTGTAATAATAATAATAGCTTATTTAGTACTGATTCCTCTTCCTGCCTTCGTTGTAAATATATATCAGCTGAGTTTGCTATTTTAATACAGGCATTTAAAGCTGGAGACTGTAGCTGATAGTTATTTTTTATTTTTATCAGTTAACATTTGTGTTTATCTCTGCCCTCCTGATAGATTGACTTGTGTGTAAGTTACATTTGCTGCACTTGCAAATGGCTGTTATTAAAAAGTTACATTATCCACTAACCACGCGTTATAATAAAATGCTTTTAATATTTAATAAGACTCAATAAGTTGTTTAAAACACATAGGTAACCAATGAAACGGGTGGGAAAGATCATGAAACAGGTTTGAGTTGAGTCTGACACATGTGGGAGTCCGTCACATGTAGCTTAGCCAGCTAGGCTCTCTCGCTGTGCTTTAAGTTTCATTTAAAAATGAATAGAAATGTCTGCGACACGTTTCGTAAAGTTTTCTTAAAATCGTTGACTTTAAATTAACGTGTTAATAGTTTGGTTAGATGAATTTGGCAAATCCGATACAAACAAACAACGGGTTAAGAGAGCAAGGAGATGCTAGCGGTAGAGGAAGTATTACTCATATGATTTCATTAGAGCCCGTATTAACGTTATTCATTTAAAGAGGAGTTTTTGACTTTATTCTATGGATTTAACACCTTTTATTCTCTATTGCCGTCGGCGATAATTGTTTATGGAAAGTTGTACATTTTTTTCACTCCGGCGGCTGCCCGCAAAATACTGTAACTGGAGACTACATGAGAATAAAATGTATTGTTACATGATTATTGGTTTTAGTGAAGCCTTAGGGAAACCAATGAGAAGTGTGAGAGACTGAATGACATAGTTAACAGCCAATAGAGGCGTTGCGTTCACTGTTTGTATGTGATTACTCTTACTCTTTGTGAAAGTGGGTTTAATAAGGCTTTAAACATCATAGTAGTTTAAAAACAGACATCCTATTATTTATACCCTCAGGGACAAGCTTCTATCTCTGCCCACACTGAGAGTATGACACATACAACTATTGTTTGTGGGACTGTATTCAAACTTGAATGTGTTTCCTGTAGATTTTAGAGGCGGCAAAGGTTTTAGTGCCAGGGCTGAAGGAAAGGAAGTATAACCCCATCATCCACACACACACACAGACAAACCGACCCTTGTGTTTGGTGGCAACTGGTTTGAAGTGGTTGTTGGGGGTCGCTTTCAATGAAGCCCACAGACTGGCACAGTAACTGACAGACAGGAATGCTATTCTGCAGGTCACGTTCTGTTGTTGCGTCACACAGACACTGGGATTTCTGTTGTCGCAGTTACTTCAGACAGGAAAGTTTGGGTTGTTTCATGATTACTAGCAACTTTTTGGCTGGGCTCAGAAGGCAGCTGGCTACCTCAGTTTGGAAAATTAGAATGGACTAAGACCCACATTTTTGGGATGTTTGTGTTGGTATTTTGTATATTATTGGAAATATATAATTTTTTATGATCAGTAGCCTAAAACTGAATTAAAGACTCAATCAGTGCATATCAGATAAATGTTCTAAAAAAGAACACTCTTTCTCGAGTCACTTATCTCGGGTTTTGTTTCTCTTTATTCTTAGTAGTTTAGATACTGTATAGAAGCCTGTTTCTGTTACAGAATAAAAAAAAAGGGTAATTGTGACTCTTTTTCTTGCAATTTTGAGTCACAAAAATGTCACAATTCTGACTTTTTCTCACAATTGTGAGATATAAACTCGCAATTGCGAGTAGGAAAATTATAAAGATTCTATGAAGTCGGAATTGGAGATATTAACTCGTAGGGGAATCTTTTGGTACCTTATGATTCGATTCAAATCGATTCTTGAGGTCACGATTCAATTGAAAAACGATTTTTCCGATTTTGAATAAAATTTTGATTTGATATATGCATAGATTTGATTCTAGTTTCCCACTAAATTAAATGTGAACCTGTTTTCCTTCCCATTTTAGTCAACCCAATATTATAAAACAATTGCCATTTAAGCTGACTGCAATCATTACACACATGACTTAGCAGTCTCTGTAATAAAGCAAGGCAGGACGTTTTATTTTATTTTTGTTATTAAAAATAGGAACAATGAAGCAAATTACCAAAAATAGGACAAATAGGGCTACAATAAAAATAAAAAATTAAATAAACAAACAGAAACAGACGGCAACAGTTTATGAGGCTGCTGTCCCTTTAAGAATGAATCCACGGATCTAATATACTGTTACACATCCAATTTTCTCCTAGCTGTTTATGTTTACGTAGGACACAACAGACTGTGTTTACGTGAATATTCCGCAAGATGTGTATTTTGATATAATTGTGTGTGTATTTGACCATGCAAGCTCAATAAGCTGTGAAAGAAAATTCAATTTGGAATTTGGGATTGTGTCCATCAGAAGGTCAGAATTGTTAGATAAAAATTTGCAAGTAACCAAGCTTCCATAGTTTAATCTTTGGTGCTTTGTCGCTTTAAAGCCACGATGAAATGGAAGTAGCGACAGATCTTATCTTCCGAATGTACATCAGAGTGAAATGGATTATTGTAGTTGCTAATTAGATGGAGGCAGATCTGAATGTGAGCTTGCAGTGGATTTGTGCGAAAGGGGTCCAACATTTCACCGGAAGATTGAGTTATGGCATTTTGATTTAAAAGTACATGGTCAAAACAAATTTTTAAAAATGCAATGTGTGCATTGATGATTCATTCACTGAAAAAAACTATAACATGTAAAGAAAATACTACATGAGGTGAATTTTTTGTCATTTCAACTTTGAATGCTCATTTTATGCCCATTAAGTTAAATGCTTTTCAAAACAATGTGGACTGAATGTGGATACATTTTAAACATTTGAGACCGTGTTTACATTTGGTTTTGTGTTTGTGGAAACTGAATGCAATTTTAAATGTGCTCTAAAACATCCCACTGATTTCATGCTATATATTTTTCTTTGCAGTCAAAATCTTCAGCTTCTACGTTATCTTCTATGGCTGCTTGGCTGGAATTTTCATTGGCACCATCCAGGCCATGCTTCTGACTCTCAGCAACTACAAGCCCACATACCAGGACAGGGTTGCACCCCCAGGTAACAAACCAGATTGGTTGATGTTGAAGATATGACATGCCCAAAAGTGTTCAGAGGTTGGGTACTATTTGTACGTAAAAGCTCTGAGAGTGAATAACCAAACTGAAGAGATACAGAATGAACTATATGTACTTTAACGCTAATAGTTGTTTTGACTGGCATGATTTGATAAGTACCATATGCGACAGTGTTGGGAGAATGTTGTTGTGTAGTGGATGATTTTGACTAACTTTTGAAAGATGTTTTTATGTCTTGTTCAACATTTTCAGTTTTGTTGCAAATCATTGTATTTTAAAGTGAAAAACCAGAAGCGTTTGTTTGTCACCTGGTTGACAAGATTTTTAAGAGGCCTTGCAGTCGCATGCTTTTAAAAGTAATTGAGGCAACAGGGACATTCCTGTTATTCTTTGTCCCAAAATCAGATTGTTCTTTTCATTTTTCCATATCAATGGCATTCTCATTTACACACATTCAAACTGTTCCATAACGCTGGAAGTTAATTTTGCTTCTGTAAACCCTGACATTTCGGCGCCTCTAAAGGTCTGCCTGACCTCGGAGAGAATGAGTGGAGGTGGTAGGAGTGTGAGGGAGTAGAAGGAGAGACACACACAGAAAGCCATTTTGACCTTCACACTCCCGGCCAGACTGACGAGGCTTCCCGTTTGGGTTCTAACCGCATTGTTGTTCCTCATCCAGACACTTCGCATGTCTTTGAACTGGTATGTCTTGTAGTTTTTCAGTCGAGGTTGACGTTATCAGCATTTGTGAGCATACCTGTAAACATACCTTTGAATTAGTTTACAACAGGCACAAAAAAGATTGTCTTGATATTGAACTTAGGCTAAAAATGGGGAAAAGAAACAGTGGAGAGCATTGTGTTAGGTTGGCCGTTGCTCCGCTGCCAGCCATTCGCCACACCAGCCATGCCAGCGAATGTTTGCACAGGGCACACTCCCGCCTTGGCATTATATTTAGCTGTATTCGTGAAGGCTCTGAACATAAATGCCTCTGCCAGGAAGAGCCTTTTCCCCTTTAAGAGAGGCGGCACTTGAACGGCAAAGTCTAAAAAGAAACACCGTGAGTAGGAATGAAGTGGAGATCACCATGGTGTGCAGCTATTTGCTGCAAAGAAGGCCGGACATAGAAATGACATGATGCCTGCGTTCAAGTCCCGCCTCCCTCTTAGGGGCTAAAAGTTTCCATTGTGTGACAGGAGCACGTGAAGTTGTGGAGAGGAGGAGGGGGAAGGTTGTGAGACTTTCGCAAGCTCTAACTAAAGTCTTAAAAGTGAATTAAACAATGTCTATGTAACTCTCTCATGTGCAATAAGGCAGAAGCTCCTCTTTTACACCAGATGCAGCACATGCATGGAAGGGTCATTCATTACCAGGCTGTTGAAACAAAAATTGGCATTACAGAAAATATAAGGTTTCCGTTTGCTTGTTCTCCTCTGCTTGCTCCGCTCACGCCACGCCCCATTGTGGCCTTACGTTCGTGGTGGAAAATTACTGCCAAGCTGGGAATCTGAATAGCAAACTTCCATGACAATGAATGGACCTGGCATTCACTGCTCTCATAGCTTGAGGGAAAATCACTCTTCTAAATGTTCACAACACCAGTTGCTTGGGCCACATTTAACCTCTCCGTTTTATTTACAGGCTTATCACACTCCCCACGCCCGGAAAAAGCAGAGCTCAGCTTTTCTATGTCGGACGAAAGTAGTTACTCTGCATATGTGAATAATATCGAAAAATTTCTGAAAACCTACGATAATGAACACCAGAAGGATGTCACCAAATTTGAAGACTGTGGAGGTACGATCATTTTTATATATCTCAATAAACCCAAGCTTTTAGTTCTATTATTAAAGGGTTAGTTCATCCAAAAATGAAATTTATGTCATTCATTACTCACCCTCATGTCATTCCAAACCCGTAAAATCTTTGTTCATCTAAGGTACTTTTGATGAAATCTGAGAGCTTTCTGACCCCCCCCAAAGACTGCTATGTTATCACCACTTTCAAGGCCCAGAAAGGCAGTAAAGACTGTTAAAATAGTCCATGTGACTACAGTGGTTCAACCTTATTGTTATGAAGCGACGGCCCACCAGAATACTTTTTGTGTCCAAACCCTACCCAAAATAACAACTTTGTTCAACAATTTCTTCTCTTCTGTGTCAGTCGCTGACTTTGTTCACTTAGTAAACACACTGCAGCGCTTCCGGGTTCTTCGTCAGAACGCCGGCTCGGTATTGGCCGGCTCCTGCGTCAGCATCGCACGCATGTGTCGTGGTGCTCACGTGAACCGAGTCAGAGACTGACACGAAGAGAAGAAATTGTTGAAAAAAGTCGTTATCTTTGTTGTTGTTTTTTGTGCACAAAAAGTATTATTGTCGCTTCATAAACTTAAGGTTGAACCACTGTAGTCACATGGACTACTTTAACAATGTCTTTACTACCTTTCTGGGATTTCATTGAAAATAACTTCATTTGTGTGGCGAAGATGAAGGTCCTTACAGGGTTTGGATTGATCTGAGAGTGAGTAATTAAAGGGTTAGTTCACCCAAAAATGAAAATTCTGTCAGTAATTACTCACCCTCATGTTGTTCCAACCCCGTAAGACTTTCGTTCATCTTCGGAACACAAATTAAGATATTTTTGATGAAATCTGGGAGCTGGATCACTCCTCCATAGGCTTCTTAAGGGATCGAAACTGGCCGGCCCAAAAGTTATGAAAGACATCGTTAAAATAGTCCGAGTGACTACAGTGGCTCAATTTTAAGTTTATCAAGCAACGAGAATACTTTTTGTGCGCAAAAAACAAACAAAAAGAACGATTTTATTCAACTACTCTGTAAGGCCGCGATATTTCACGTAGTGAAACTACGCAAAGCTTCTAGGTTGCACGTCACGCGTAGGCTCACTATTGGCCGACACTGGTCATGTGTGTGATGCGTGGCGTACAACCTAGAAGCTTTGCGTAGTTTCACTACGTGAAATATCACGGCCTTACAGAGTAGTTGAATAAAGTCGTTCTTTTTGTTTGTTTTTTGCGCACAAAAAGTATTCTGGGTGAACTAACCCTTTAAGTAGGTCAGCTAAAAAGGGTTCAGTCCAGGAAGTGACCTCCTACATCACTCTCCAGCAAGACTCTCCTGAAGTCAACAGTTCAGGACCCATTTGGACCTATTTGACCCATGTTGCTGTCCTGCATGCCTGTGCACTGTTGTAGTAATGCCAAGCAAACACAGTTGTATTATTCACTAATAAGCCTTAATGCGTTTCATGTTCAGTCACACCCCAAACCTATAAGGATCGTGGAGAACTGGAGAGCAGTGACGGCATAAGGAAGGCCTGCCGCTTCAGTAGAGAACTGCTGAAGGATTGCTCAGGCGAAAATGACAAATCATATGGCTTCAGTGAAGGCAAGCCCTGCCTCATCGTTAAACTCAATAGAATTGTGTTCTTCAAGCCACGGGTGAGTTATCCAAGATAATGTAGGATGTAGGAAAAAAGCATTTTATTTTGTCATTAATAAAAGAATCACCAATTAGAAGACGAGACAAACATACACACAAAAATACACAGGCAACACCCATAAGGCTGAGGCCGTAACAAAGATTATCTTGTCAATATTATTGCCATATATATATATAGATAAATTGCTTTTTTTTAGCCTGAGGCAACATTTACCTTAATATTGGGATTGTATCATACTGCCAATCTCTCTTTCCTCAGACTCCAGCTTCCAATGACAGTATCCCTGAGGCAGTCCGCCCTAACTTTCAGAGCAATCTGATCCCAATCCACTGCTCAAGCAAGGTACGAAATACTTCCAGCACATCTTGGTAAAATAGCATTCTCGTGTAGAGATGCACAATATATTGGTTAATGTCGGATTTTAGAGATTTTCTTTTTATTATTGTGCATTCATTTATAAAATCGTCTTTAGCAAAATGATTACAATTATGTGCCAGAATTTCATTATCAGTGCATCCCTACTCTTTTGCCAGTCAAGCGTTAAAGGGATAGTTCACCATATAAATGAAATTCTGTCATCATTTACTCACCTTCAAGTTGTTCCAAACCTGTATGAACAAAAAAGAAGATATTTTGAAGAATGTCGGTAACCAAACAGTTGACTTCCATAGTATTTCCCCCCATACTATGGAAGTCAATGGGGCCCAACAAATGTTTGGTTACCCATATTACTCAAAATATTTATTTTATTTTGTGTTCAGTAGAAGAAAGAAATTCAGGTTTGGAGGGTGAATAAATGACGACAGAATTTTCATTTTTGGGGAAACTATCCCTTTAAAGCCCATGACACCAAGGCAACTATAATGAGAACTGTAAAGTTTAGATAATCACATCAATTCTGTGAGAAAAGGGAAGTCCACACTAAAACTATAACGATAATGACTTAGAAGAACAGCATTGTTGGAATCACTTTTAAAATGATTTTTTCAGCCAATCAGAATCCAGTCTAAATGGCTCGCACATTTAAAGCAGCAGACGACATAACTGCACGCTTATAATAATAATCCGTTGGTGTGAACGCTACTATAGTTATGGTCCTTGGTGTGAATATACACAGTGATGTTAAACTCAATGTGCTCCAGTGAATGATCTAACACAAGTAATGCTTGTCAACAGAGAGAAGAGGAAGCAGATAAGCTCGGACCGATCGATTACTTCGGGCTGGGTACTGGTTTCCCCCTCCAGTATTATCCTTACTACGGCAAGCTGCTACAGCCCCAGTACCTCCAGCCTCTGGTGGCCATCAAGTTCCACAACATCACGAAGGATATGGACATGCGCATAGAGTGTAAAGTATACGGACAGAACATCGATTACAACGAGAAGGACCGTTCTCAGGGACGTTTTGACATCAAAATCACCATCAAGTCATGACCTTAGCTATGAAAATAGCACTTTTATTCTGCCCATTTCAAAACACAGTAATTTAGATGAATAAACAAAGACGAGTACAATTTTAATTGGAAAAAGCAACAACAACAACAACAACTAGTCTTGAACAAACTTTCACAACATACGGGACCTACACTTAATCTGTACGCTTTACACTAGCTTTCTCTGCATGTCTAGGGTTAGATTGTAAATTACAGGAAGAGTAGCAATAGCAAAGTATTTATTCTACTGTAAATGAGAATATTCCGTGAGCCATGGGACGTTCATTTATTACTGTAAATTATAATTCCACTACTGATGTAGCGAGCAGTGTTTCTGTCCCCTGAGTATTTCTGCCTAGTGTGGTCTCTTTATATTTTATGGAGTGTGCAGTGCAGTAGTCGCATACAATGGTCCTTTCCAAGCCATGTTGTAATTTCTGTTGTCTTATGTGAGAAAGACTTAGCGGTCCAAGGTGTGTGTGAGTGTGTATGTGTATGAGAGAGAGGTTGAGTGTGAATGTGCGTATTCGTCTACTTAAATGAAAACTGAAAATACTGGCATGGTACGCTCTGAACTCCCCAGGTCTGTGTGTGTGTGTGTGTGCGCGCGTGTAAGTGACTGCACTCCGTTCAAACCTTTTTTTCCTTTTTCTTTGCATCTTATGTTTTTCATTGATTGTGGGGAATGTTTTTACATCACCTTTGGACTTTTTATTTGATCTTCTTGCAATTTGGGAAATTGGGGCTAATGAAAATTCTGTGTAAGGCTTTTATTTTTCTTTACTATTAAGTGTAGAACTGTGTGTCTAGAGTGGAGGACTGAAGTGGCCAGTGGTCACCATGGCAACTCAGTGCTTTTCTTTTTTTGTTCTGGAGACATCACATGCTGTGTTGTTACTTTCTAATGAATGTTTTTGCCATTTTCATGGTGGAAGAATTTTATATTTATGCAGTTGTACAATTTTTTTTCAGCAGGAGAGTGTGTAATGTATGAATCCAAATACCAAAGTCACTGGTCAAAGGTTCGACACCTGTCAGATGCAAAGCAGTACCCCATGTAATAGGATATTTTGTTTGTGTTTAAAGTTCTTAAAAGTCATTGTTGGACATCAGAACACTTGTCAAGAGTTGCATTTGCTCTTGTAATGTTATTTAAATCTGGGTAAGACCTAAGAAGAAATAAATGGACAGACAACTGAGGCGTTGTTAAAGTGGTCTTTATTTAAATAACAGCCGGACGGACATCTCTCAAAGTTGCTTCACCCATCTAAAATCTTAAAGAAATACTGGACCTGCAAAACACAAATTCCCACAATTCAGTCCAATCTTTCTCCAAAAGACAATAGTTATCCCAAATATCACACTATGTAGCCTACACTCTTAAAAATAAAGGTTTTCACAGAAATGCCATATAACCTTTCAGTGAATTGTTCTTAAAAGTGCCTTTTTTTTCTTAGTGTGAAGGACATTTAAAGCATCTAAAGAACCTTTTTTGCCCTCTAAAGAAGCTTTTGTAGAATGGAAAGGTTCCATAGATGCCAATAAAGAAGCATTATTTGTAAGTACAGTGTACTGTCTAGTGCAGGGACGGGCTATTTCTGTCCTGCAGAGTTTAGCTCCAACCCTAATAAAAAACTCACCTGGCTGTAGCTTTCTAATGTCCTGTAATCAAGACATTGATTATCTGGTTCAGGTGTGTTTGATTAGGGTTGGAGCTAAACTCTGCAGGACAGTGGACCGACGTTGCCCAACCCTGATCTAGTGTATGAATTTTATAAGGTTATTTTGTCATCCAACATAGGAGTCTGAAAGCCCCACTGCTACGTAATAAAAAGCTGCGACAGTTGAGTGCTTAAAGTGTCCAACATTCAACAGGCATAGAATAGTGGATAAGTACATGAATGTGCACACATCTAATAAATTACAAAGCCCATCATAATAGATAAACCTGCATTAATCTATGATGCACTTTTAGCACTTCATCAGGCCTCGGCATCAGCTCGCCAGCTTGTTTTACTTTCAAACAATTGACTTTCCCTTGAATTGTGCCTGTTACGGCAGCCGGCGTCTGTGCTGGGCCTCTGTGAGGCCTGAGCTCTTGGAATGTCATGGCTGAGTCGGTCAGCAGGCAAATGATTAACAAGGGGCCATTTGTGCTGGGAGGCTGGACAGATCAGGAGTTGTGCACAACAATGACGTCCACCGGGCCAAACCCACTCCCTGGCATAACAAAGCCTTTTTTTCCCCCTTCTACCAAACCGACTCTATCCGCCTGCATCCCTTCCTGTGAGACATGCTGGGCTGTAGGTCTGCCTCTGCCCACTGCGGACAGTCATGAGACCTGGATGCCATTTTGTTCTGGGCTTCATTAGCATTTGTGGGATCCAGAAATATTTTTGAAGGCAAACAAACATCCTCAAAGCGAGTAAAACGAGGCCGAAGACAAAACGTGACTGTGTGTCTCTTGCATAACATTGAGTTTGAATGGGATTTGCATGAGCTCACCTCCAGAATCCCATCCTCTGGTAGGTCTGTGCAGTGAAGGCCATTCTGCACTTTGTTTTTGCCGTAGAGCGCTCGTAAAGCGGCGGGCCGAAGGTGCCGTGCAATTTCCTGTATGGAAACAAAACTCATAACGTGACAACAGCTCTGTGATGGCTTAGTTTGTTAGAGCAATGGAGCACATGCTTTGAAACAGTGTTTCCTTTGGATAAAAGAACAGGTGATGATGCATGTGTTGTGATGGTCACTCATGCCCAACGCTGCTGCGAGATCACATAACATCACATTCTATCCAGGGCATCAGATTACTCGCATGTGCTTGTTCATGTCACTCAGATTACTGCAACATCAGCTTCCTAAATAGTTCTATGTCAGAGTCACTTCTTTTAACTTATACGTGATTGGAAATTTTTTGGCTAGCATTAAAATGATCGATATATTGGTACCATACTGGACTTGGACATATAATTGTTTGGACTATTTTTACATTTAGATTATCTTTGCGCTCAAAGTCGGTATGCAATCAAAACAATTCTCGTTTTTATGGAATATTGCAGTATTTATTATAAACAATTTATCCGTGCACATCTTTATTTTTTAAATTCATGTATGCGACATCTATTGCCTTCTCTGATGACGTGTTTACTGGCATGAGGAAGGGATCAACCTGTCACTCATATGACAGCAACAGCAAACCACAATGATCCAATTCCCGATGGACAAAATCAAGTCCCGCCTTTAATTTTTTTCTTGTTCGAGAAGCCTTTTAACTCGGATATACGTCACAATAGGAAAGAAAAGACCATCGCAGCAACCGTTTCATGCCGACTCTAAACTTTAATAATTTAATAACACTGTTAAATGTCATCTTTAGCAAATCTCAACATTATCTCTACATTATAACGCTGCGATGACTAACTTCACTTGTAACACGAAGCCAGAATGATTAATTTGAGTTTTTAGTGTTTTATTTTTTATTTATGTAGACAAAGTACTATATAAGTATACTAAAATGTGCATATTAGTTCATTAGAATAGTATTATGTTGCATCTATGTACACGTAATATGTTCTACTATAAACCTTTTAGGTGTAAATAAGTTATAACTTTTGCACATTTTTTTCAAAGAGTGAGCCATAATATAAAAATTAGGGCTGGGAAAAAATTAATCGTGATTAATCGCATCCAAAATAAAAGTTTTGTTTACATAAAATATGTGTGTGTAGTGTGTATAATTATTTTGTATATATCAATACACACACATGCATGTATATATTTAAGAAAAATGTGTTATTAATATAAAAAATATGTATATTTATATATAATATAAATGATGTATAAATATATATACAGTATATACATGCAAATATTTCTTAAATATATACATGCATATGTGTGTATTTATATATACAAAATAATTCTACACACTACACACACATATATTATGTAAACAAAACTTTTATTTTGGATGCGATTAATCACGATTAATTTTTTCCCAGCCCTAATAAAAATAATTGTATGTTATCTGTATTGGACAGAATTTAAATACCAGTGTAATCCAGAATTGTGACATTATTTGTGTGAAACCCAACCGGCTTTTATTTTCTCTGGTCAAGCTCATCTCAACCTGACATTAACACCAGTCTGGCAGAGAACAGGCTGCTCAGCATTCTAGGCATGCTGTCATCTAGCAAAAAAAACCAACAACGGCTAAACGGTAACAGAGGAATACAAGAGATACGAAAGTCCCACATAAAGACCAACACAATAGGACTGATTGAGCGTAACAGTATGAGCGATTCAAAAAATATACGATCACCTTTACAAAGATGCACAAATGTTAAACAAATACTCCTCCCCTGCCATTACAGCATGACAGAAGTTCAAGGGGTCTTGGCTGAGTTTACTTAGAGTTTATATTTCAATGCCCTTTCAGCAGAATGTTGGACTAATACCAGGTCTTGAGTTTAATTCGCGCTCACATGTGCTTCTCATTCAGAGCTCAGCTGGCCAACTGGCTAAGGCTAAAATGGAACGTGATGAAATGAAATATTCCTGAGGCTCTACTGTCCTCTGCTAATCTACCAGTAGGAAATCTAACTCCCAATCTCTGCCCATGGGGGATGGGTTATCTAAATGTAAATAAATTGGGTTTCCTTAGCCACACCCATCTTGTCACCTCCATTTTGATCTCTGGATTTCCATTTCAGTGGTCTGGAACCTGTTGAAGAGCACAGTTTAAATAAAGAGCGAGTTTTAAGCGACCACACATTGTCATGAGAGAAAGTCTCAGGCAAAATTAGTGTTTTGGTTCAAATAAAGACAGCGCTGTAACATGTGATTTCCTTTCTCAAGCTTCGGCATATTTAGAGACTCTTGCTGGTTAGTTATTATCCTTATCTTGTTGACATTGAAAAAGCACACGGAGCTTTATCCTTTCTTTAGCTTTATCTAGATATGATGTCTGCTTTGCGATTCAATTCAAACAAGTTTGGGGTCGGTATGAAAACGCCTGAAGTGAGAAATATTAATAAAATAATTGTCATTTATTCCGGTGATGGCAAAGCTGAATTTTAGCAACCATTACTCTAGTCTTCAGTGTCACATGATCCTTCAGAAATCATTCTATGCTGATTTGGTCCTCAAAAAACATTTCTTATTATTATCAATGTTAAAAACAGTTGTGCAGCTTACTTTTTTAAAGGATTCTTTGTTGAATAGAACACTCAAAAGAACAGAATTTATTTGAAATAGAAATCTTTAGTAACATTACAAATGAGTCAAATTGATTTAAATGAATAAAAAGATGAATTTCAAAAAGATGAAAACATCCTACCAACCCCAAAATTCAAATGGTATTGTAGGTTTCATCAGAACATTTATCTTAACCAAGCTTAATCAACCGATTTACTTTGTTTTAAATAGACAGATTATTGTTTTAGTCTGACTGGAATTGGACTTTTAAAGTGCATGTAAATGCACTTATTCATCAAACACACATAGATATGCTCACAGCAAGGCTCATTTTGAGTGCTGAGACAATTTCTGGCAAAACATGTCTCACTATAATTGCGTTAGTTACCCATAAGTGATCTGCAGCCGCTGAGCTTAATGTCACTGTAATGAGTCCTGCCAAGCCCAAACACTGATGGTTCTACACAAACTACAGGCTAGGATTAGGAACAAACAAGCTAAGGGAGTTCATTTCGCCTCTCACTGCCTCTTTGTCTCATGGAACTCCTTTGGGGAAATTGCTTTAATCAGCACGTTTGTATTACTGAGATATCCATGTTGGTGATATCCATTTCTAACGGCCACTGTTTGACGTCAGCATTCATAGTGTGCGTGTGTTCTCATTCTAAAAAGAGCCGCTGCCAGACACACTGCATACAAACTAAACGTCCCACACCCCACTACACAGAACATAAAGAGAATGTCAATAGAGAGGACACACTGACGTAACACTACTGTCTATGTAGGCCGAGGCGAAAAAATCGTTACCTCACAAACCCTCCTCTCGCTGTTCGCTGATGGGCCCGTATTCAGAGAGACGTCTCAGTCTTAGAGTCAAGTGACATGACTTAACGTCTGAGTATATGGATATCTGACTCTCAGTGCCATTTAAAAGTATTTGGCAATCATCACAAATTATTGAAAACTAAAATAACTGTAATTTAGAGGGACAAATTCACACTAG